ACTACATTGTATTAAACTCAAGGTTATAAGACATTTAAAATAACAAAGATATTTTCTCTACAAAATACAATTTAAAGTTACAATTTCCATAGCATTTCCATGCTTGCATCTAATCCAGAATATCTGTCCTGCTTTGAAACCAGGATTTCTCATTTACTGTATAATAGTTAAGAATTAGCTTACACATGTGTGACCTAAAATTTACAAAGCAATAGCAAAAGAGCCCAAACTTTTGTTACATCTGAAAAGGCAGCACCAAGAATCTGAACCTACACCGAGAAAAAAAAAAAAAGTCACATGCACAATAGGTCACTGATTTCCACCTTTAACAACTCCTTTAAACACACCTGATGTGATACACTTGTTCCTGAGAATGGCTTGACAGAATGTGGCTTAGTTTGTTTTGTTCTATGTATCTTCCGTTTCCCTTCTCTGCAGAGAGCTTCCAGTGACAACCTAAATTCAGAGTCAGCTGGAGCGCAGGGCAATTTCACGGGAAGCCCGGGGTTTTGACACAGAGGTGTGCTGTTCACGGGGCCATTATTTCTAGCACAGGCTTTTCGAGTATCAGCTTCTGATGATGAAACCCATTTGTCAGAGTCTGAACTTGTGTCTTCTAGATCCATGCAGTCAGTTTTCTGTTCCCAACTATTTCCACAGGACAATGGTGCTCTTGTTACATCCAGACTCTTCTCATTTCTTCCCAGTTCCGACTTGACAGTTTTATCCTTTTGGGGCAAGAAACAGCTGCAAGATCCTGTGGTAGTAAGGATTCTTTGAATCACGACTCTCGGGTACAACGAATCCAGTGCCTTGCATGCTCTGCCGTTCTCTAAAATGTTTACACTGTCCTTTTTCTCCTTAAATCCTCTCCGAAAGGCATCTATCACAGGACTTGTGCGTGGTGTTTGGTCTGGCATCTTTTTTCTTCTGATCTTCTTTGGAGAAGACACTTTCTTTTCAAAACGTTCAGCGCATAAAACTGACAGTCCGATTCCTGCATCTTTTACATTTCCTCTGCCTGGTGAACACAACACAGTTCTGTCTTTATGGCCAAAGTCCAAGAAAGAAAGGTAAAGATGAATTATTCACAGTCAAAATATTGGGGGAAAAAAAAATCTTATGAGATTGTATTACTTGATAGATCTCTCTCATATGCAACCCAAAATTAATTTACTTAATCATTTAGTTTTGCTAGTGCCATGTGATTCTTTTCATAGAAAATACCCACATGATCTAGGTCACAGCTTCAGTCGTTACAAACAATCTAGCTTAAGCATGAGACAATAACTTGAAATAATAATTATATCCTTATTTAAAGAAATAAATTTTAATAGGAAATTAATGTTTTCAGTTAGAAAAAAAATTAAATGTGCTCACTTCAACATACTTGGTGAGCTATACTCCTTATATTGCTGCTCCAATTTGGAATGAGATTGGACTATACTTCTGGACACTTATATAATTGAAACTCATATATAAGTATCTTCCATTTAAAAAACATATACTTACCTTTGTTTAAAACTGGTTTGAAGAACTCTGTAATGGTCTGGTTTCTGAAGAGAAAACATAAGTTTATCTTTTTAAAAGAACAATATCTAAATGTCCATACAGTGAACGCTGATAAAATTAAAATGCTGTAATTTATTTCTACAGGTTTTTTTTTAATGTCAGCAGCTGTTATTTCTGATAGACCAGAGAAAGCATCATCATCCTCCTTGTGGCCTTCTAGCTAATGAAGCCAACCTGTCAGTTTCCTCACTCAAACTGTTTCCTTTATCATCCTAGTAAGTCTTAACCACTCTTCCAGTTTAAACTAAGCTTTCTTAAATGGGATTGATCTCATCTGTATCCAGTATTCCAGATGAGACCTCACCAGTACCTTATGTGATGGGGTTAACAACCTCCCCATCTCCACTGTCAACACTTACAGCTGGTAACTCCTGCTGCAATTTTTTTTTTTTTTTTTTAAGGTGTTACAGTGTTAAGTAGCTGGTCTTAATACCATCAGTGACCAAAACCTCTTCATCATATTATGAGTTGCAATCTGCAAGTGCTAAAGTTCAACTAATTCTGTAACTTCTTTCTTGTTGTCCAAAATCCCTTCTGCACCACTGTTGGTTGCTTTTTTCATACATCCGGTGCCAGGCTGGGAAGCAAATTCCCACCTGCGCTATTACCAGACTTCTCAGCAGGAGCTTGTACCAGCACTGCCCCTTAACAAAATACACGTGTCAGTGGCTTCCCTCGCAGCACACAGTATGGGCATCTTCTGGCTTCCAACAGAAACAGCAGTCTACAACCATCTTATTTTTACACAACGTTAATAGCCTCCTATCACAGGTATTTTCTCTGGCAAGAATAAGTGATGTTCTCACATCCCAAAGCATTTCTCTGTGAGAGAATGTCACTCCTAAATATGGGCAGATTGTCTGAGTAACGTACAATTTGAATATTAAAATACATCAGGAACGATGAACCTGCTATCTTCATCTTCTCCCATGTAGCAAGGAAGTTTACTAACAACTTCAAGGCTAAACTGATACCTGTTTTGGAAGTTTCTCTTCAAGTTCCAACTAGACATTTGTGTGAGAAAGTAATAACAATACAGACTTGGTTTTGACCTTCTTCCATCTATCGTAACCTTTCTGTGCATTCCAAAACAAAGCTAAATCAACACTGTCTGTGCAACAGTGATTACAAAGGCAAAACTTATTTATTCCAGATTCTTAGCTAAGGTATTCAAGCGCCCATACATGACTATTCTTTCACAGACTCAATCGCCATTTTTGAAGTTCAGGCCAAAAGAACCCACTGCTCACCTGTTCAAACTAAACTTGGACTTAATTTTGAATCTTTCCATAAGCTCGTTACTTTCACTTTTGCATTTTCTAACACGGCTTCTGTATTTTTAGCACTTACACAAATACAAAAAGCTGTTTATAATGCACTGATTCTTCTTTAATTGGGCTACTGGCAAGCGGTGGTGTCTGAGTATACTGTAACTCAGTAAAAAGCCACCTGTAATCAGAACATGTCAGTGCATAAAACTGTCTTTTTGGCTAACCAAAGAGAGCAGAAAAACTACTTGTCAAATACTACTTGCCTCCAACCTGCCTCGGCTTAACTTGACATAGGCCAAAACGAGCCCATTCTTCCCACATGCTGAAGCAACAGGGTCTCCAAATTTCACTTCGACAGAAGAATCAAGAGGCTAAATTGCAGGTTTATTCACTGTTACTGCTGTTGCTGACTGATTTGTCTTTCTGCCCTAGATCACCTCTCACTGACACCCTGACCGCACCTTCTTACAGCAAGGCCCTCTCTGCCTTGCGTGCCTCAGGACACTCCCAATGCTTGCTTGGGACTGCTCTCACAGCTGCCAAATCATCCCATGCCCACAGCTCCCTGCACTGCTTATCTTTCCAAAAGCCTTCTATTTTCCTAACTAAGCAACTGTACTTCTTCCTTCCAGGTTCAAGTCTCATCTGCAATACCAACCAGTGTCAGCAGTCCAAATCTCATCTTCTGTTACCTCTCAGATTCCTCTTCACAATTAAATCCTGAAGAGAAACCAAAACCAAAGCCTTCTCCTATCTTCTTCCTTCTTTCCGCAGCCACTGATTTTGAACAACTGCTTATCTCCCTCCCACATCCACTATCTCCTTGTTGTATCCTTTTGCTACCTTCTATTCTAAGTGCAATAGTTTTGTAACAAAATTCACGTTTGTGCCATAAGTATACAAAGCCTTGTATAACATAACTGAGAGACTGGAGGCAGTACCACTAGGGGAAAAAAAAGGCCTTTTTTTTTTCTGGGATACAAGTTTAACTTGAGCAGAGACTGATTAATTTCTTAGACTCTAGACTTTGACTGATACTTTCCACTTCGCATTCTACTGTTTTTTGGAAGAACAAGGGATAGGAAATGTCCAACTAAAACTGAATAATAATTTCTCAAGTGCTGTATTGTATCTCAGACAAGGAAGTGTACTAGAAACTTCAAACAAAAGCAAAGGGTGGGGAAAAAAACAACCACCATGGGATACAGTACAAGGAAGAACATGAGAAAGCACTGGGCTTTCCAACCTGCTTTTCATATATAAGCAAGTACAAAAAGAACATGCGACTTTCTACATGAACAGGACCATAACTGTTCACAGACTATTTACAGGATTGAATAGATAATAATAATAGATTGATATTAAAACTATTGTTTAATAAGAGATCAAATAATCAGCCCTAAAAGAATGAAGAACTGAAAAAGCAACAGTAAGTACTGTTTCTCACTCTTCTACCTAACATGAAAGTCACATGAAAGTCGTTTAATATATCTTTGTCAACAACTACACAGCTCTAGTTAATGCTTTTCAGCAAAATATATAAATTCAACAACATATAGTTATCTCCGCTAAACATTATTCCATCATTTTTTGTGAAATCTCATTTTAACTGAGACACCAGGGAGACCACTGAAAGACCCAGATAAGAAAAGGCAAAACCCATAAACACATGATCTCATGTGACAAAAAAAAAAAAGCAGCTACACAGCCAGGAGATGCACCTAAAAGACCTTCCAGGTCTTTAAAAATTAAGGGCGCAACCTGCATGAAAGAGGGAGTGAGGAGATTCCTTCACTTGTTTGAAAAGACAAACTCCTGAGTATTCTATAAAAGTAATTAGTGCTTACAGCCATATCAGCAGTTATCGCTGATTAGATAAAAACCGTACTTTTAAAAACCTGTGCTGGAAACATAAGCAATAGCTCAGAGAAAGCAAAGCCCCACAACATAGGAATAAACTACAAAACATAACTACATCTTTGAGGAAATGGAGCATCTTGAAAAGCACCACAGAAATAGAATACATTAAAAAAAAAAAAAAACAAAACAGAAAAGAAAGTCGCACATAAAACCTCACAATGGTCTCTTAGATGACCACAGCAAAACCGAGTAGTTTCACTTCCTTAGGCAAGAAGCAACACACAGATCACTTCCTTGGGCAAGAAGCAACATACAGAAGAACTGAACTTTTACCTTCTCCCTTTCCTTCAAAGGTCAAGGCTATCAAAAAGGAGGATCAACAGAAATGAACAAAATAAGGTGCTGCTAATGGCGTAAGAAAATTATGACTTGCCTCAAACTGCAAGAAACAAAACTTACTAACTCAGCGGCCTCTGAAAAACCTCGTTGTTTTCGGCAGAATTTGGATTTCTAGCTGCTAGACACGCTCATCATGTCTAGTAACTGTCGTTGACAGCCACTGCCTTCGGTGGTGACCTTGTCCTTCAGCACCGTTAGCGGTGCAGTTCACAGCTTGAACAGGCTCGAGAGCTGAAACGAGGACAACTGAAGCTCCCTCTTCAGAGCCGAACTGCCGACGCCCGCCCAGCTCTACAGGTAGGCTCGCTGGCCAACATCGAGACACAGGATGGGAGGACGTGTGGGCACGCGAGAGGACTCGCGTATTTTGAATGATGTGCTGAAGATGGCCGGGTTGGATGGGGCATTGGGCAACCTGGTGTAGCGGAGGGTGTCCCTGCCCATGGCGGGGGGGTTGGAACTAGATGGTCTTTGAGGTCCCTTCCAACCCGAACCATTCCGTGATTCTATGCTAGTCAGTACTTGGCTAGACATCTTCTTCAGTTTCTCTGTACGCTGTCAGGTCGCTTGGCCATCAGATCCCCTTCACCTCGGCCCACGAACCGAAGCACCACATGAAAACAAGGGCAAGCGCCTCAAGGATGGAGCTCCCGCTGCTGCGAGTATGGATGAGGAGGGCACCGGCCGCCCCTCGTGGCGGGCACACCGCCCTGCT